GTCGCTAAATTAGCAGTTAATTTTAGCCTAAAAGGGTTAGTCAGAATCACTTACATACTGCACCTTTAATGAGGAACTGAATTTTAACCTAAAAGGTTAGCCAGAATTAATTACACGTTGCACCTTTAAGGAAAAACTGAATTTTAACCTAAAAGTCAACCAGAATTAATTTACACGTTGCACCTTTAAAGAAGCACTGAGTTACTGGTGAGAGTTCGATGCAGCTTCCTGCTCAGCGAAATCAGCACCACTCTGTTGCTGGTTCAAGGCTGAACAACTGATTATTTTTAATTCAAGCTAAAGATTTATTTGTTTGTTTGTGCCGGATAGAAAATCTCTGTGTATCCCAGCCTCACACGGGGCACCAATTAATGTTGGGGTTATTAGGATCGAACAATAAGCGTTAACTTACTTTTAGATTCTTCAATAAATTCTGTAAATATGGGAATATTTACTGATTTATTAATTAATTAAGATATTCTTAGATATCTCCGGGGCACCACCCTTTAATTAAAAAGAGAAATGAATCCAAAACCTTATCAGTCTTTCTTGAAGTTCGTAGAATCCTTGGAGCAGACACAACAAAGCTACTGGAGACGAAAATCTGAATTTTATAACGTTTAATTAACAATTTGTCAAATGAATAAACAGTGGCATAAATGAATAATAACCATGTGATATAATAAAAGGATGTATATTCAAAATAATGTTCAAGGTGTTTTGTGTGTATGTATGTGTGTGTGTGTGTTTCTAAAATGGAGTCTGTATACAAGATGGCTGACCCCTTTGTCTGGCTAAAGTGTGGGTGGCAACTTGCACTTTAACTTCCAAGGCACTTAGGATCAGAAGTAACTTAACCTTAAAATCACTCAAAACCTTTCAAAGGATCATGAAACAACACAAAAGATTAATCACAAGTTAATATCTTTTAGTTTCACCACTTGGCCATAGTAGGAAACATTTAAAGATATTCAAACAATGATAAATAAGCAGTTTATTCTTTCAAAATGACCTGACGGACGTGTTTGGGACGAAAGAGGAAAACACGAAGCTACTTTTTAAGCAATAGCACGGTTTTATTGCTTATTCTGGACTATAGAGGAAACGGAAGAAGAAGGAGAGAAAGAGATGAGTTTCTGATCACCAGAAGAGCGAGGCGTCCCTCCCTTTCTTTTGACGGTTCTCCGTGTTTCTCCGCAGCTTAAGGCGTCGTCCGTCGGTTTGATGCTTTCTCCGTTGTTTGGCGTTCTCCGTGAGTGTTTCTCCACGGGCTGGACACAAAGAGATCGAAGTTTCTTTTGTGCTGAGTTTGACAACTTACAGCGTCTCTGAGAGCTGGATGGAGTTGTTGCTTTCCTCCGCAGTTCTGTGTCCTCAAACATCAGCTGGAGGGGAGCAGAAACGAGCAGATCTGATGGGCGTGCAGTTTAGTTTCCAGCAGTTCCGTGGGCTCAACTTGGGCACTTAGAGCTTCCGCGTGCTCAAGGGAGTCGGAGCGTTCGACAAGCGTGTCCTTACCGCCAGGTATCCCGGGCAAAAGAACGAGGTTCCTTTGTCTTTCCTGATGATTTATAGTCTGAGTTCGCGGGAAAGCTCCGTGACTCCTGCACATGCACAGAATGTGTTTCTGGTATTAGGCGGTGACGTCATCACAATGCTTCCGTGTGCAAAGCATCATGGGAAATGAAGTTTCTTGGCGCTGATGTGATTATTTGCTTTTCAGAGCAATTTAAGCACAGTCATGTTGGAGAAAATCACTGCATAGTAATTTCCTCATGAGGTCAGACCCTCAACACTGCAATAGCGCATAGTTAATAAAAAGCTTTTGTTCACAGGACTGGAGCAGCATTACAAAAAACATTACAACTTGAGACTCTGCAAGAAATTAACATAGAGGATACAGTTCATGACTGTAATATCCCAGAAGCAACTGACCGACGTTTGACAAGCAAGAAAGGTCTTCCTCGACGCTACAAGCTAAGGCCTGAGGATCCAAGGCGTTAAGGTTTGCCTTCCGGAGTTCCTGCACCATCAACAGAGGAACTTCTACAACACCTACGGACTTGCGGTGATGGTAAAATAAAACATTATCTGCCTTCCATCTTCCACACAATAGTCCATTGCTAATTGAGTTTATTTTTTATTTACAGGTAAAACTTTGCCACAGACATAGGTGTTGGGGGAGGCAAGAGAAAACCCAAAACCTTCTTCATTTTTGTTTCCTGTGTTTTTTTTTTGTTTTGTTTTTTGAAAATAAAGATATATTTTGGGGAAATAAGGACTAATAATTTAAAAATTTATGTAAAATGTTGGAAGTAAACATAATTTTTGTTGTTGTGCAGGAGTTTTAAAATTTATGGTATTTTTACAAATGCAACACAGAGTTGTGCTTTAGAACACTTTATTAGAGCATCAAACTAAAATATATAAAAACAAACTTATGTAAAATATCAAATATATACATTTATTTACAATAATCTTGGAATAAAACCAGTGTAGTTACCATTGGGGTCAGGGAATTTTGCAGAATAAACTCCTCCATGTGTGGTACAGTTGAAATACATGTCTGGGGAGGCTGTTGGCAGCATTTCTTTTCCAAATCAGTTGGCATATCTCTGCAGTGGGAGCATACACACCATGAAGGTTGATTGGGTGTTGGAGGTGTTGTGGCAGGTGGACCAGAGAGGGGGTAAGTACATCAAAGGGAACACCAGGGTCTCTGTCCAGCACCATGGTAAGGATGTCAATAGCCTGCTGAGGGTTCAGGTTCTGTATGTGTTGCTACAGCAACAGTTATGCTTACACGTTCAAAGTCTATTCGCTCGGAACAAAGATTCCGAACTCGAGAGAGATCATCATCTCCAAGGTCCACAGCTGAGTGTCTCACACTTCTTCGGCCTCTGGATGCACCACGGCTTTGAGATGATGGTGGGCATCTCCTTTTTGCACCACGTCTTGAGGATGCAATAGGAGGTTCAAACTCTTCCTCAGAGGATTCCTCAATCACTGAACTCTAAATTGTATTAGAATAAAAAAAATTATACTAATATAAAAAGCACTCTTGCATATTAATCAATTTTGACACAGATCAGGTTTACATCTAGTCAAAATTTGGGCTAAACCAACAATAAACAGAAACCCTATGAAAACAACCATGATTACAGGAGGACTACACAGAATGCAGTGTTTATTCATGATTTCCACATACATTATTTATATGCTTTGATATATTCATCCCATCTTGAATGGCAAAGCAATTAAAAATAAGCTAGTTACTTGTAATAAAATGCTAACAATTTGATAGGATTAATTTTATTTACAATATGGATTGCCAACTGTTACTGGTATTTTAAAATATAAATATATTTATAGATATTCTTTATAAAATGCCTTTTGTAAACAGTAAGTGTTTAATGTGCTGGTTAAATACAACTTTCTTACCTCAGATAACTCCATTGCTAACACTAGCTCAGCTCTATTACAAGAAGCAATGCTCCGATGTTGACTTCGCTTTTCCTGCGCGTGCACATTGGGAGGTGTGGCTTTCGGCTCTTTCAGGAAGGGCAGGGGAGTGAGCAACAGCCGTTCGAATTAAAAAATCTCCTCCTCCTCACCCTGACGGTGTCATCCTGCGGACTGTGCCTTTAAAGCTGTGACACAATGATATTTAGGATCATTTTTAGAAATATTTTTAGATGTTTTCATGTTTTGTGTTCTGAGAATTCTGTTTCCAATTCCAATATCATCCTTAATAATTTCCTGATCAGTTATGTCTGTTTATATTTTTCTGATCAGTCACTTTTTAACCTCATGACAGTATATGGTTTGCATTTAGCAAAAATTCACTTTGATGGTTTCTATTTTAAATTATCACTACATATTATTATTGTTGCAAAAATGTTAGTGTGTAAATGTCAGAGGGTTTGGGTTAACCCGCTGTTAAATAGATATAGATACAATACTATTATTCAGATGTGTTATTCTGTAGTATTACCTGATGTCCTGTCATTTCTACATCGCTGTGTGACCTTACCGAAGGATTAACATCTATGTTTACACAGTTGTTTAATTTGCTTCCAGCCAAAGGGACAGACAGCATAAACTCAGCAGCCTGAGGACACCCACACCCGTCAACACATCCGGAAGTTCATGACGAGTTCCTCAAGGCTCATTTAGACCTGCTGACTGACCTCACCTATCTGGTAAGATGAAGGTGGAGTTAGTCCACAGAGGGTCTACCAGCCAAAATCAGACTTTAAATTTACAAAATGAGGACAGAAACTGAATGAAGTTTATCCTAATATGCTGGTGGTTCTGAAGATTGTTGCCACGTCAGTGATAGTTGCTGCTGCAGAGGAGCTTCTCCTGATAGAAGCTGTTTAAAACATACTGAGATCTAGCATGTGTCAATGTTAAAGGACTTGTTCTTATCAACCCTAACCATGTGACGATACTATAGATCCCTTTGCTGCAGGAACAGAACTGTTTGTTCTTGTTGCTGTTGTTCAAATATTAAAATTGAACAGTTGTGATAGATGCTGCCGTCCTTAAATTATGTGTTTAAGTCAGGGGCACATAGAAAAAACATGTGTGCAAGTGTGTGTGTTTGTGTATGTGTGGGGGTGTGTGTGAGTGCATGCATTTGGTGAGGTGGGGTGGGGGTGTTACTCAGGGAGTAATCTCGCCTGGGGCACCAAAATGGGTAGAGCCTGCCCTGGATCCAGGACACATGTGGTGGACCTCACTGAGGAGAAAACTATCAATAGTCTCAGCTTCTACCAGGACAAAATTGTCCAGCATTTCCTCTGGTAAAGACACACACTCAGATTTGTCTAAAACCACGTTATTAGAGGCTAAAATGTTACATCTGATGGTTTCTACTTTTTCCCCGAAGTGGTCTGCCAATTCCTTACAGAGAATGTCTAAAGAACAGAAAACCAACCACCAAGAAAACCAGCAGCCACTTCAAGTGTTAGATGACATTTCTACTTAGTTCATACCTGGCCAGGCACCACAGCTCTGGAGAACAGCTTGTTCAGCTGAACCAGCTCATTGGGTGTGGTGTCAAACTTGAGTGCAATGCTGTTCAACGTGTCCAGTAATTCCACCTACACCAGAAAAGGAGAGAGGATATAAACATTACACTGTTGACCCTGAGGGGATTTGTTTGACAATCTGTAGAGGGAATACATAAAGAGAGATGGAGACAGAGAAGCAGATAATATAAACAACTCCTTTATAGGACCTTGCGCTGTTGTTAGATTTTAGGGTTTTATTCTTATTACCGTTGTCAGCTGTTGACCACAAATAGATATTCAACGAAACATAACGTGACAGCAATGTTTGCTGCCCCACAGCAAGAATTACATATTTTCCCTGAATTCAAGACAAACTGTCCACAAGGACAAAAACCACAAAATTGCAAATACTGAAATTTGCAATATGAGCGTCACGGTCCATCTTCTTTTCATTAACACCTGATTGGACATCTCCACATAGACACAGGTGTAAGAGCACACACAATCGAGCTGATTTGCAACATTGAATCTGTTTTTCGTGAAGCCAAATATGAGCAAGAAGGCTGTCAATCTTCTGAGTATGTAGTTTTAATACCACAAGAACATTCACCAGATCAGCAAATAGACAGTTAAGACTAAAAACAATCAGTTCTGACTCATTTAGCTAAAAGCTAAAATTAAAAATCAATTATTCATTATAATTAACGAAACTGATTTATTTGCTGATGATCAAAGAGGGGCAAGTTACATTTGTACTTGTTTTACTTGCTGTTACAGTTTTGGGGTTTGTTCTGAAATTGTACATAATTTAGCTCTTCTGGCTGATTTGTTGCTATCAGCAAACAGGCTTAACACCCTGCTGCACAGAATAGGAAAGGTTTTAACAACCCTGTATTGGTAAGTCTATATGTGAACATGTAGATACTAATTTAGTGGCAAAAGGGGTATTTTTCTGGTGCTGACAAAGAAAATGATACGCCTGTCCAGTACCCTGGAACTGTAATGACCAGAACTAGAGGACCCGTGAAGAAACCAAACACAGTAAGACGAATAACAGTCTTTATTAGCCAGGAGCTATGAGGAGGTGTTTCCAGAGTAATAGGCGTGGGTCGAAGCCAGATCGGGACGAAGCAGGTGCAGGGAGCAGGCTAGAGATGTGGTAGGCCGGCGAGGGTCGTGGTGGAAGCAAGAGTTCTTGGCGATGGTCAGGAGTAGAAATGAGGTCGAGAGACTATGATCAGGCAGGATGACAAAAGGCTGGAAGATCTACTAGCAGGAGCGTTCAATAATCTGGCAGAGTGCTGGGGGTTGACTGTGGAATATATAGCTGGTGAGGCAGGTGTGTGGCATGAGCTTGATGGTGAGTTGACTGTGGTTGCTAGGGAAGCAGGGCTTGGCTGGAGCTTGATGAGAGGACCAGGTGTGATGCATGAAGGCTGATGAGGTGGATGATGGTGCATGGAGGTCAGGACATGGCAGGAACAGTTTAATTTGAGATTTTCACTTACACAAAAAGGCCCCTATAATTTGATATGATGATGAGATTTTATGGTCAAAGATTACAAATACACCCTAAAGGTCAAATCAGATTACACCAGCCACACAATGTCAAAAACACAGATTAGCCCAAAACTCCTAAGTCTGCCTTTATTAGAATAACAATCTGTGAAACATCAAAGAGCCTTTTTAAAGGCTTTTAATGGAGGAAGTAGAGTAATAAAAGCAGCTTTTCCACAGGTTTTACAAACAGCAGTTGCTACTTTTGCTTAAACAACAAATTTATTTGTGTTATTCAGTTAATTTCTCTTAGAGGTGTCTGAGCTGTTTATTTTTATTGATTTTCCATATTGAATAGATCCAACAAATTGACAATCAGACTTACCAAAACATAATACCACCCTAAAGCACTTAGACACTACTTAAAGGGACTTTACGGACTTTTGAATTTTTATGCTCGTCATTGCCCCCTCAGGCCAAAAGCGTAACGGCAGCTTCAATAGTAGGCTCGTGCACGAGGCGCACATGCTGTACGTGCACACTCCTTAACAAAAATAACAGCTGAGACAGTCCCTTGTGTGTGTGTGTGTGTGTGTGTGTGTGTGTGGCCCGGAGGACAGGAGAACGTGCAGCTAATTAATTAAATAATTTGGTTCTGTACCTTTATCTTCAGCACAGCCGACAAAGGTTTATGATGGGTCAGTCCTCCTGCATGCTCAGATCATTCCCTTCCCTTGCTTGAAAATTTGTTCCAAAATGAAAGTTGAACCCACATCTTTTTTATCTGTGAATTCAATGCCGTTCGGCGAATCTCAAATAAAAATTTGGGCATCTTACTGTAAAAAAATATACCATTAATGTAAAAAAGAAACTCTAAATGAAATATCAGGGTATCTACAGGTTGAAGGGAGCCAAATTTAAGACCTTTTTGAAGGCCACTTTGAACAAATTTAAGCAACTTTTTAAAATTTAATTTAAGCTATAGTTTCCTAGCCTAGTGAACTAGACCAAATTCTTGCTTTGCAAAGTTTGGTCTAGGCATGCTCCATTGGAACCTCAGCAGCTTCTACCAGGACTCTGGCTAGCCAATCACAGCTCTCTAGAGGGGTTTCAAACACATAAAGAGCTGTGACTGGTCCATAATGGTGGGCCAATCATAGTGCTCTATCTGCTTAGTGAACAAATCACAGAGCTTTATCCGCTTTGTGGGCCAATCAGGACACTCTATATGCCTGGTGGGTGGGATGATGCAACAGAGTGAAACAAGAGTATGTCACGTTCATTGTCCAGTGGAATGCGGAGATCATTTGAAAGACAACGGTAGAACCCGCCCCACAACCGAGAGCCGTCAATGGAGCGTGGCCAGACTAAATAATAAATTTATTTAGTCTGGCTTGCCAGGCTAATAGTTTCCAGCTATTGCCTGGAACCAGTGCTAACCCCGTCACGAACGTGGGATTAGCCATCCAGTTACCATTAAACTTGCACTTCCCCATGGCACAAGCTCCCACTAGCTTAACCAGCTAATGTGCTCATCTAAAAAGAGCCACAACTAACTGAATGGGTATGGTTCCGCTTACGCCAACATCGTACACAAAAATGCTGAACACCAACTACAAATTCACAAAATTTTTATAGAAATAAAAGAATCTTGTTTATTGGGTCTTTAGTAGTTTAAGACCTTTGGAAACTGTATTTAAGGATTATTGGTCATTTTTAAGGATTTTTAAGGCCTTAAATTTGGAAAAGCTAATTTAAGACTTTTTAAGGACCCGCGGATACCCTGACTATGTTCACATCCAGAATCGAACCCAGGCCTTCCGCATGAGTGTCAGACATTTTACAAGGTGAGCTACACTCTCGTTACATTCACAGTATCTGTAACTTTTATATCCTTGATGACAGCTGAATAAACGTCAAACCAAAGAACGGTTCAAAGCGAAAATGGTTATTTCGTTGCTAATTTGCAGGCAATATCTAGAAGAAAGTTCTACAGAAAGTAGCTAAAGGGCCTCAGAAAGGTAGCTAGGCTCGTCACTAGGCATTAGGAACAGCGACAAAGTCGCTGAGTTGGCACTACCTCGCTCTCTGCTGCTAAATCTACGGATAGCAAATGCTACAGGCTATTCCTGAGCGTGAACACGCATGAAGAAGCCCGCTCGACCCGAGCAACTCTCTTTTTCTTTGATTTTACAGAAAAACAGGCAATCACAGTAAAAATGCCAGGGCTCATTCTACAGGACCAGGGCATTGCAGGAGAATGTATGAAGAAGAAATTTATTATTTCTATACATGTTTTGGCTGTCAAACTTCCATAATGTCCCTTTAAAAGAGAGGGGGGAAAATAAGTAAATTAATATAATAACATAAAAATGAAGAGCGAAGGGAAAATAATAATTTAAAAAAATCGTGAATTTAATTACATATTTGGGGGGGGGGGGGGGGGTATTTTTGTTAAATCTATAAAGTGATGCCAGATTTGGTTGAACATGTGTTCTTAGCCTTTTAATTAACTTGGCCTTGGCCTTTCAACCTCAGCCTGGCCCAGGAGAAGGTTCCAGTCCCGTGGAAGACATCCTGCCTTGTTCCAGTTCCAAAGTGTTATGACCCCTGCGTTCCTGGGCTCCGATTTTGAACCACCGCACCATGGACAGCTCCTCGCCATGGCCGCTGGAACAGGATCTGCACCATGGAAAGAGGCACGCTGAGACGCACCCTTCCCGCCGGCCCGCTGACACCAGCTGTGGACAATCAGCGCTCATCAGGACTTTCTACAAAAGACGAGCAGCGGTTCACAGATGGATGACAGACGGAGAGAACGAATCCAGATCGGACGGATCCAGCAGATCAGCGGATCCATGCAGCAGACGAGAAAGAAGTGAGAGAAAGACACACGGAGCAGACACACGGAGAACAGACACAGAGACACACACTCGGAGGACGAGATCTGAGAAGAAGAGCTAAGAACCAGAAAGAAAAGGACGGAGATCGAGCAGACGGAGAAAGACGGAAAGGAAGAAGAGCCGGCAGAGATACAACAGAGATCGAGCACACGAGAGGAGCAACAGATGAACGAGAGCGCCAAGCAGAATAAAGAAGCGGTGTTCCGGAAAAGAGTTACATCTGGAAATCGTGGAGACGAGGTACATACACCGTCCGTGGATTACGCCAGCCAAGAAAAGACAGACAACACGGGGATCTATTCTGGAGGAGAACCATCCGCTTCCAGAGAGAGAGAGAGAGAACGGGAGAGCGTGACACGCCGGCCACGTCAGGAGCAGCACAGGACCAGAAGGAGAACTCATACCCAAAAGGAGGGTATTATTTGAGCGTGGGGCTTTGCCCTTATTTTCAGTTATATTTCTAAGAGACTAGTTTAACCAGACCTCTGGCTTTATTATTTCAAAGGACCAGTTTTCACTTGCCAGAGACATTTTTAGTTTAATAAACACCTTTTGACTTGTAGTTGTCCTCGTGTTTGCTCCCACCACACTTGTGTTGCCCCTCCTGGTAATCCTAGGCCTGGAGGGGTGTAACACAAAGAAAACTCGCCCATCAGTCAATGATGACTACAGACCGGTTGCCCTGACACC